AGGGGAGGGGAGGAAGAAAGAAAGAAAGAGAGAGAGAGAGAGAGAGAGAGAAAGAAAGAAAGAAAGAAAGAAAGAAAGAAAGAAAGAAAGAAAGAAAGAAAGAGAACAGTATTGACAGGGAGGTTTCATATTTTAAGAAAAACTCTTATCATGCGAAATACCGGCCTGGATGAATCACAAACCGGAATTAAGATTGCTGGGGAAAACATCAACAACCTCAGATATGCAGTCGATACCACTCTAATGGCAAAAAAGTGAAGAGGACCTCAAGAGCCTCTTGCTGAGGCTGAAAGAGGAGAGCACAAAAGTTGCCTTCAAACTCAACATCAAAAAAACTAAGAGCATGGCATCCGGCCCCATCACTCCTTGGCAAATAGAAGGAGAAGTCGTGGAAGTAGTGACAGACTTCACGTTCCTGGGATCCAAGATCACTGCAGACAGTGACTGCAGCTATGAAATTAAAAGACGCCTGCTCCTTGGGAGGAAAGCGATGCCAAACATAGACAGCATAATAAAAAGTAGAGACATCACACTGCCAACCAAAGTCCGCATGGACAAAGCAATGGTATACCCAGTAGTTATGTATGGCTGCGAGAGTTGGACTATAAGGAAGGCCAAGTGCCAAAGAATAGATGCTTTCCAAATTATGGTGTTGGAGAAGACTCTTGAGAGTCCCTTGGACTGCAAGGAGATCAAATCAGTCAATCCTAAAAGAAATCAACCTTGAATGATCCCTAGAAGGCCAGATACTGAAGCTGAAGCTCAAATACTTTGGCCACCAAATGAGAAGGGAGCACTCACTGGAGAAGACCCTGATGCTGGGAAAGACTGAAAATCAAAGAAGACGGGGATGGCAAAGGATGGGATGGATAGACAGTGAGTGTTATCGATGAAACAAACATGAAATTAAGCGAACTCCAGAGGATGGCGGAAGACAGGAGGGCCTGGCGTGATCTGGTCCATGGGGTCGCGAAGAGTCGGACTCGACTGTGCGACTGAACAACAACAACAAAAACCAACTCTTATCTCATGAACCTTTCTGCAAATCTCAACACTAAATAGGGCAAATATTTATATGAATATCAGTCATAAACTACTTTGGACATCTACATTTACCTGCTCCAAATGGAAGGAATGCTTCGTTCTCCACAAACTGTCCATCCTTGTCCAAAAAATGATTTGGGTTGAACTTTTCAGGGGTCTCCCATTTCTTAGGATCAAGAAGAACAGACCGGAGATCTGTAATAACAGTGGCCCCCTGAAAAAAAGAAACTGTTTGCTTTAGATGCATCCAGACCATCTCATTTGCTCATGAAGGAATAAGTGTACAGTTGTACCAGTGAACCCCACAACTCAACTTGAACAGGTTTGCCAACAACCTGGAGGAAATGTGTCCTGTCTATTTAACAGAGGTTTAATATGTAGAAATTGGCAAGTAGAGGTTCTTAGGGCATGGAGGTAAGCAATATTAAGCCTCTATTAAGGCAGCTTAAATGTTTTTCTCTAGGTTGTTGGCAACCTTGGCTTTGATGCTGTTAAGTCTGTCTGGAGAGAGCCGGGAGGATTGTGAAAAAAGCTGAACTCCCATGAATTGCAAGGTAAAGGTAAAGGTTCCTTTGCTCGAAAGCCAGTCGAATCCGACTCTAGGGTTGCGGTGCTCATCTCCGTTTCAAAGCCGAAGAGCCAGCGCTGTCCGAAGACGTTTCTGTGATTGTGCTGCCGGCATGACTAAACACCAAGGCGCACGGAACGCTGTCCCCTTCCCACTGAAGCGGTACCTATTTATCTACTTGCAATTTCTTGCTTTCGAACTGCTAGGTTGGCAGGAGCTGGAACGAGAGACGGGAGCTCACTCCGTCATGCGGCACACTCGGGTCTCGAACTGCTGAACTACCGACCTTCCACAGCCTGCAGTTCAGCGTCTTAACCACTTGAGCCACCACAGCTCCATGAATTGTAGGAGACATGAATTCTCCTCAGTCCTGGCAAACAGCTCACACGCATATGGATTTCAAATAACCTTCCTGAAACATAGATCCAGGTGGTCAGCCGTGTTGGTCTGAAGCAGTAGAACAAATTTAGAGTCCAGCGGCACCTTTAAGACCAATAAAGGTTTATTCAAGGTGTGAACTTTCGTGTGTATGCACACTTCCTCAGATAGATTGAAATGGAAATAGAACAGCCATACAGTCTTGAAAGCTAAGCAGGGCCGAGCCTGGCAAGTACTTGGATGGGAGACCTCCAGGGAATTCCAGGGCCATGACACAGAGGCAGGCAATAGCAAGGCACCTCTCTGAACATCCCTTGCCTCCAAGCCCCACTAGGGGTCGCCAGAAGTCAACCACAACTTCTAAGCATACACACGCAAACACAAAATGCCAAAGAAAAGTAAAAGGAACACAGTGAAGACCCCCCTGCTGTGGGGGCAGCTGTGGCCAAAGCAACATTTAAAAATAACTGCACAGCCAATCAGAAGCCTTGCTGGGCAAAAGCCCTACCTGGCCACACCCATTTGCCCAAAAACACTTGGTGGCCATTGGGTATCCCTGTTCTAGTGGTTACTAGTTTTATTATAGGAATCACATCCTTATTGTAGCAGAATGTAACAGCCCAAGAGGGCACCGTTATAATGGAATAAAATTGTAGTTCACTTCAGTAATTAGGTAAAGGTAAAGGTTCCCTTGCTCGAAAGCCAGTCAAATCCGACTCTAGGGTCGCGGTGCTCATCTCCGTTTCAAAGCCAAAGAGCCAGCGCTGTCCGAAGACGTTTCCGTGGACATGTGGCCGGCATGACTAAACACCAAGGCGCATGGAACGCTGTTACCTTTCCACCGAAGTGGTACCTATTTATCTACTTGCAATTTCTTGCTTTCGAACTGCTAGGTTGGCAGGAGCTGGAACTAGAGACGGGAGCTCACTCCGTCATGCGGCAACTCGGGTCTCGAACTGCTGAACTACCGACCTTCCACAGCCTGCAGTTCAGCGTCTTAACCACTTGAGCCACCGCAGCTCCCTCAGTAATTAGGTACCATCTGCTTTTACTACATTTGCTACTACATTTGATTCTACTATCTGTATTCTTTATCGTATACCTTGCCGTAGATAGTTTATTGTTCTCAGTATTCTCTAATTCTGTAACTCCTAGTCCTATTGCATTGTTCACTGGCTGCTCTATGCTGTCTCAGCGAGAAAGGGAAATTATAAGTAAGTAAATAAATAACACTGTTCTGTTACCTTTGGAATGAAAAACCCAAAAATGTTCACATCCTTTGAGCATTGTCTGGGGACTCCAAACAATAAGATATATCTGGAACGTTGGATCTCATGAATCACAGCATTGGTGTACGGCACTTTCCTCCGATCTTGGTAGGAAAAAAATTCAGAGGAACCAAAAGCATTGTCTATCTCCTTCTGGACTTTTTCTAAGGGAAACAAAACCAGAGTTTTATTTGGGACACTCTACTGGGCAAATTTTGAAAGACAATGGACTTTTCCACATGCTCATTTTCCTTGCTTGTGAGTTTTTGTTGCTTTGGGGGTTTTTTCTTTCTGTTGTGCACAAATTTTGCTCCATCTAGTGGTTGATTCGATATTATGCAGAGAATAGTTACAAGAATGGGCAGAGTAATAAGACCAATGAAAAAAGAAAAAAGAACTGTGACAATTTAGTGCTTGGTACTATATTCATAAAGCATAATATACAATAACAGAAAATAAGTAATATATATAGTGAATGTAGACAGTGGTCTCCGGAATGGAGTGACTTTTTGACAATGATCTTCCTTGTTCAGAAGAAGAAGGGGTTCAACTTCAAGAGGGAACTGGTCTTTGGTATTGCTCTCTCCTTTTTGAGACACTCGAGCTCCTGTGAATAAGACTCGCATTGCTATGGCTTGCCCAAGGTCATCCAGCCAGGTGCAAGTGGAGGAGTGGGGAATCAAACCCGGCTCTCCCAGATTAGAGTCCGCACACTTAACCACTACACCAAACTGGCTCATATCAGAGATATGTGGTATCTCTGGACTTTCTCATATTTTTTTTAAGAATCCCCGGAGGGATATTTTTTATTTTGCAAATACTACAAAAACTACAAAGAAATATTAGGGAAGGGACTACAACTAAGGATAAAGGAAAGCAAACCACACTAAACTAAAACCCCAAGTGGAGGAGATCTTTTCACTGTTAGTAAAAATGTTAGTACTATAAGTGTTAATATCACAATATACTTGAAGAGTTCTTGCTTATAACAATTCACTATTTATGTGTTATTTTATTAGTTGTTATGAGAGAAATCTCAGATCATCTTCTTGTTCTTTGCTTCAAAAGGCCATTTTCCAAGTCCTTCTGCCTTTACTTCGGCTTTCTGTCTCTAAAATCGTATACCACTCTGGCGGGTCCTGCACCCTTTTCTGCCGCAGAGTCCTCTTCTGTTCCAGAGGTTGCAGAGTTGGACTTTCTCATCGTGGTATTACATTTGAGGTGTGTGTCATCTGCAATGTGGGATGAAAGCTTCAAATAATTGTAGAATAGAGCATGAGTCCAGTAACGCCTTGAAGACTAACAAGATTTGTGGCAGGGTATGAGCTTTTGCGAGTCACTGCTCACTTCTTCAGAACTGACTCACTTCTTCAGCAGTGGCTCACGAAAGTTCATTTTTGTTGTTGTTGTTCAGTTGCACAGTCGAGTCCGACTCTTCGCGACCCCATTGACAAGATCTCGCCAGCCCTTCCGGTCTTCCACCGTCCTCTGAAGTGTGCTCAATTTCATGTTCATTGCATCTATGACACTGTCTAACCATCTCATCCTTTGCCGTCCCCGTCTTCTTTGACCTTCAGTCTTTCTCAGCATCAGGGTCTTCTTCTCCAGGGAGTGCTCCCTTCTCATTGGGTGGCCAAAGTATTTGAGCTTCAGTTTCATTATCTGGCCTTCCAGGGAACAGTCAGGGTTGATTTCTTTTAGGATTGACTGATTTGATCTTCTTGCAGTCCAAGGGACTCTCAAGAGTCTTCTCCAGCACCATAGTTCAAAAGAATCTATTCTTCGGCGCTCGGCCTTCCTTATAGTCCAACTCTCGCAGCCATACATGACTACTGGAATACCATTGCTTTGACCATGCGGACTTTTGTTGGCAGGGTGATGATCACGAAAGTTCATACCCTGCCACAAATCTTGTTAGTGTTCAAGGTGCTATTGGACCCTTGTTCTTTTCTATTACTACAGACGGGCTACCCATCTTGATCCATCTTCAAATAACTGTAGTCCGATAGTTAACTTTTTCTCTTAAAGTATTAAAGGGTTGGGAAATACCTGGACGTTATGGGGGTGGAGCCAGGAGAGGGCAGGGTTTGGGGAGGGGAGGGGCCTCAGCAGGGTATAATGCCATAGAGTCCTCCCTCCAAGGCAGCCATTTTCCTCAGGGGAATGGGTCTTGGTCTTCTGGTGAAAAAATGTAATAACAGAAGATCTCCAGGTGCCACCTGGAGGTGGCACCACCACACAACAGTTTCTTACCTTGAACATCTGGATAATTTGCCATGAGGAGGAACGCCCAGTAAAGGGTGGTGGTGGTTGTTTCTGTGCCTGCGGCAAACAGGTCTGCAATGCACTGCACTAGGTTCTCCTCATTGTAGGTAGAAGTGGGGTCCCTCTTGCTCTGTTACAGTCAGTAGGAAAAGTAAAAACAGGGTTTACAGTGAATTTTAAGCCTTTTGCTGTTCTTGTCAAAGCACTGTTCAATCAACAGTGACCGAACAGTAAAATCTGAACATTGGAGAGCCAGCGCGGCACAGTGGTTAAGAGCTGTGTAGACTCTAATGGGAAAGATTGAAGGTCAAAGAAGATGGGGACGGCAAAGGATGAGATGGTTAGACAGTGAACAAGATCTTCCTCTTGTTGTAGTGCTGTAAGAAGTAGAGAATAATATATTTTTAACAGATTTATTTATATTTTTCCAACATACCCTCGAAGAGGGGAGTACATACAACAAATTACCCCAACAAAATTTAATACAACAAAATTTTTGGAGTCATATACGGATATTAACATAGTTTGTCATTATTGTTATCTATCCATTTATAGAACTTTTCCCATCTACCGGTAAACAACGCATCATCTCTATTGTGTAATATCATTGTCAACTTATCCATTTCTACCGCCTCTAATATCTTATAGAAGTAGAGAATAATATTTGATTTTATCCACAAAACATCTCCTTGTGGGTATTTTCTTCATTTTCCACATTTTAGCCAACGTCAGCCTGCAAGAAGTAATGACGTACAATCCAACCACTCAGTATTTTTTAGGAATAGAAACTGTGTAATTCAACAACAATAACTCTAGTATTATTTCAATTTTATACCATCCCATTTAAGTGCACTATCACTACTTCTTCACCTACAGAGTTATTATTAATACGTGGAATTCACTACCGCAGGAAGTGGTGGCAGCTACAAACATAGACAGCTTCAAGAGGGGATTGGATAAACATCTGGCGCAGAGGTCCATCAGTGACTATTCACTACAAGGTCCAGATAATGAAACTGAAGCTCAAATACTTTTGTTAGCCGAATTGCTCTTTAGGAGAGACAATTGGAACAGTTTAATAATCGGGATTCAGATCAAGTGTATACGCAGGATGGGCTAAGCCGTTACGCTTCAATGAAGAGACGAGACAGAAGTTTAAACAAATCTCTCTTTACTGAATATGTTGTTCAGACACACAAGAATAATAATAAAACCACTCAGGCATACAAGGACTAAGAAAACAAGGTAGATCACAGCACAGTCGCATTAGCAGGAATATCGTTGGTGGGAAATATTTACCTATGTCGCGGCTCAGCTCCGAAACTTCCAGCAGGATGGGAGGGCGGAAGGGATAGAAAATGGGGTAGAAACACGTGAATCCAGACGAGCCAGGAACACGTGGATTGACCTTAGCTGCAGACTAAGGCAAAGCGGTTATCGGGGATTTGGTATAGCAAGTGGGACAAGAGAGGTTTTAGCAGACAGGAAGAGGTCGTTGGTATGAAGAAGGGGGAGCTCTCTCTTGGCTCTGTGCAAGATGTTTTAAGGTCTCGGCTGCGAGGGGAGGGGGTGGGCTCAAACGGATTACCAGGTAGCCCGACCCCTAAGGTCAGTGATTGGGTATGATGTCAATATTCAATCTATCGATTAACTAAAGGGGAGGTGTCCGGGCGGGGGGTGAGAGGTACTAGTTGTGTATCAGCATTATGTATCCGATACAGTATGTAAAATGATGTACCTTGCACACATATATATTAGGGATTAAAAACTGCACAACATGTAAACAAGACACAAACCAATCTCCAAAACCAGAAAGGGTTGATGAAAATATAAACATATATCAAAAGAAAATAGAATGAATATTCACTGATCTAAAAGAAACAACCACCAAATAAGAAGGGAGCACTCACTGGAGAAGACCCTGATGCTGGGAAAGATTGAAGGTCAAAGAAGATGGGGACAGCAAAGGATGAGATGGTTAGACAGTGTCATAGATGCAACGAACATGAAATTGAGCAAACTTCAGAGGACGGTGGAAGACAGGAAGGCCTGGCGTGATCTGGTTCATGGGGTCACGAAGAGTCGGACTCGACTGTGCAACTGAACAACAAGACTCTAATCTGGAGAACCAGGCTGGATTTCCCACTTTGCCATGGAAGCGTCTTTATTCAGCCATTTGAAACATATAGGCGCTTTCACACATGCTACATTATGCCATTTCAATCCACTTCGGCGACTGTTTGCAAGTGGATTTTGTCATTTCACACAGTGAAATCCAGCTGCAAAGTGCATTGGACGTGGACTGAAAGAGCGTTATCTAGCGTGTGTGAAAGTGCCCTATGACCTTTACACAGAGCGAGTACTTATCGCCCCCTCTTGCCTACCAGCAAACTGCAATGCCAGAGGCCATCCCACTAGAATATAAGAACATAAGAGAAGCCAATGCTGGATCAGGCCAATAGCCCATCTAGTCCAACACTCTGTGTCACACAGTGGCCAAAAACACCAAGTGCCATCAGGAGGTCCAGCAGTGGGGCTAGGACACCAGAAGCCCTCCCACTGTTGACCCACCCACCCCAGCACCAAGAATACAGAGCATCACGTGCCCCAGCCTGAGAGTTCCTATCTATACCTTGTGACTAATAGCCATGGATGGACCTCTGCTCCATATGCTTATCCAATTCCCTCTTGAAGCTGTCCATGCTTGTAGCCGCCGCCACTTCCTGTGGCAGAACCTGAAAGGAAAATCTTGCCACCAGCCCCTGAGTTAGCTGCTAGGCTTCTACCAGGCTCGTCTGGAACCCAGACCTGTAGCCCCTCAGGACCTGGGCCGAGGTGGCACAAAGGTGGTGAAGTGCGAGACTGGCTGCGCACAACCTTCTTGTAGGTCTAGAGCAGAGTGCTGAGAATAGTACCTCCTCGCAGAATCCTGGCCAATGCATGACACAGCCTCAGGAACACCAGCACCTGCCGGCAGTGCAGCTGGGCCCGCTTACCTCCCAAACAGTCCACCAAGCATAAGCCTTGTGTTACCAGCTCCAGCTCTGACTAGCCCCAGGCCCCCAAGGATCCGATACCACTTGAGGATACCTGACTGGGACTGACTGAAGAGTACAGGACAGTGCCGTTGGGGCCAGGGAAAGGTCAGCAGACAGTGGGGGGTGCTATGAGCCCAGGCAGTGGGAGAGCACACAGAAGGGTTGCCAGCTCTGGCTTGGAACTAGGGGTGTGCACCTATCTATCTATCTATCTATCTATCTATCTATCTATCTATCTATCTATATCTATATCTATATCTATATCTATATCTATATATGAATTTTTCAGGTTAGGATCTACCGAACCTGAAAAAATTCGGTATTTGCTGATATTCCCGAATCCCAGTAATAATATGATATTGGGGTTTGGGAATTATTGGACTAGCCGAATTTATTCAGCTCAATTATACCCTAAGGGACTGTCCCCATAGGGCATAATAATCCCCCCTTGAAGGGGGAGTCTGATAGCTGAAGTAAAGACAAATTGCCTTCCCCTCAATGAAAGGAGCGTGCCACCTTTGCGGCGTGACTCCAGGGAGGTTTAAAGCTTCAATCCACCCTGGAGTCACGCCACAGAGGCGCCACACTCCCTTCATTGAAGGGAAGGCAATTTGCCTTCCATTCAATGATGGGAGCCAGCTGCCCCCCGAGTTAGCCCACCCGCCGAAGCGGGCGACTGGGGGAAAGCTTAGAGACAGCCCACCCACCAAGGCAGGCAAGCCAGGGAAGGCCCTAGGAGGAGCGGGGAGGCATCCAAATGCCTCCCCATGCCTTCACTGACCCATCCACTGGAGTGGGCGAGCCATGGAAGGCCTGGAGCTAGCCCCCCAGCCTTCCCAGCCCGCCTGCTGAAGCAGGCAATCTGGGGAAGGCCCAGAGCCAGCCCCCCCAGCCTTACCGGTCCACCTGCCAAAGTGGGCAAACCGGGGAAGGCCTGGAGCCAGCCCCTCCAGCCTTCCCTGGCCTGCACGCCAACATGGGGAAGGCCCTAGAAGGAGTGAAGAGGCATTTAACTGCCTCAACGTGCCTTCCTCGGCCCGCCAGCCAAAACGGGTGAGCCGGGGAAGGCCTGGAGCCAGCCCCTCAGCCTTCCCTGACCCGGCCACCAAGGCAGGCAAGCCAGGGAAGACCCTAGAACCTCCTGGCCCCACTGGTGAACCTCCTGATGGCACTGGTATTTCTGGCCACTGTGTGACACAGAGTGTTGGACTGGATGGGCCTTTGGCCTGATCCAACATTGGCATCTCTTATGTTCTTATGTTCTCCCTGTGCCTTCCCGGCCTGCCCGCCGAAGCAAGTGGGCCAGGGAAGGACTGGAGTGAGCCCCCCCTTCCCTGGTCCACCCGCCACGAGCCAGAGAAGGCCTGGAAAGAACAGAGAGGTATTTTAAATACCTCCCCATGCTTTCTCCAGCCCACCGCCTTCTGTGGCTCATGCTGCCTTCACGGCACAACTCCCCAGCAAGGGAAGGTATTTAAAGTTTAAATACCTTCCCTTGGCCAGGGAATCACTCCGCTGAGGTGGCACCAACCCCAGAAGCAAGGGAAAGTGTTTTAAGTTAAAACACGTTCCCTTCCTTTTTTTTTTTTTGGTAAACAAATTTTTTATTTTCTCAGGAATACAACATATAAAACATTTCATTCTATCAATTGTCTACCCCATTCCCAGTTCCTCCCCTCCCTCCAATGGCTTCCCACAATGCTTCCACCCCTGCTCCAAATTACTTCATATCATCAACAATATCAGTTTTTCATCATTACAATCTAAAGATAACATCGTTTAACTTAATATTGATCTAAACATATTAACACGTTCCCTTCCTCACCCAGCAAAGGGGTTTCCCGAATGGATGCCAAATATACGGCATCCATTCGAGGAATTGCTGTTCAGCCAGCAGAATCAGATTAGAGAATCTAATTCGGCTTTCGGCGGGCCCGAATAATGCCAAATAAGCTTTATTCATTTTGTTTTTCAATTCGTCTGAACCGAATGCAGATCCCTAGTTGGGACATATGTGGAGATTTGGAGGGTGGAGCTTGGGGAAGTCAGTGTTTGGGAAGGACCGGAGCAGGATTTAATGCCATAGAGTCTATCCTCCAAAGCAGCCATATTCTCTAGGGGAGCTGATCTTGGTTGGCTGGAGATCAATTGTAATAGCAGGCAATCTCCAGGAGCCACTTGGAGGGTCACAACCCTAGCACACAGGCAGATGAGAAGCCTGTGGGTGGGAGGGAAAGGACTTCATGAACTAGTGGAGGGCAGAGGAGTTACCTCCAATTTGCAGCTCCTCCATGTGAAGCAAGAGATCACTACAGAAGTGGGAATGGTGCCTCCCCAAAAAATTTAAGACTACATTCTTACTGTTACAAGTACAGCAACAAAAAGGCTGACCGCACAGTTGGTAATGGAGATTCTTCTTTCTTCTTGATCCCTAGAAGGAAATCACCTGAATACATTAATGATTGTTAGTAAATAGGATCCAGTTTCCTGGGCTTTCTCTCCATTGGCTTTCTGCCAGGTTCCCTTCCAGGCCAGTCTAAACAATAGCACACAAGATAAACACATTCACCCTATAATGACTGAATTTAGACCTTGCAGCACTCATATTTCCAACAAATAGTCCTTCACACTCAGCTCTATACATTCAGTATACTTCAGGAGTATGAGTCCCAACAACATCTTAAACCACATTAAAAAAATAGATAGTATTACATATTTAGTAACCCAGGACAGTGTACATGGTTCCCACTCATTTTTCCTCAGAGCGTTTCTGTGAGGTTGGTTAGGCTGGGAGAGAGTAAATACCCCAATACTTACTTTCCCCATCTGAAGTAGATAGTAATCGATGAAATCACGTGGCTCGTGCACCGCCTCATGCACTCTATGCCTTTGTATCTCCTTCATTGCAAAGTCAGCTACAAAATCGCGGGCAGCAATGGACCTCTTGTGAGGTCCTGGGAGATGTTTCATGATCCATGGGAATAGGTCATACAGCTACAGGCAAGAAAAAAAGGAACAGCCCTGTAACTACCACAAGGAAGTTCTGCAATAGAACCCATAAATCAAAGTCCTTTGGTTCCCGCTTCACAAAGTCTCAATTTTTTGTTTTCCTGAAAAGCATCTTTGGGATGCTTTGGAGGATAAATTGTGGGGAATGGAATGCTTAAACATACACACGAGTGTGTCTTATCCTATTATTTGTCTGCTCAGCATATCACCTCCTCCAAACAGCTTCTCTCTTCCCATCATTAAAAAAGAAGAAGAGAAGAAGAAGAGAAGAAATTGGATTTATACCCCGCCCTTCACTACCCAAAGGAGTCTCAGAGTGGCTTACAAACTCCTTTCCCCTCCCCTCCCCACAACAGAAACCCTGTGAGGTAGGTGGGGCTGAGAGAGCTCTGACAGAAACTGCTCTTTTTCAAGAACAGCTCTTATCAGAACTATGGCTTGCCCAAGGTCATCCAGCCAGGTGCAAGTGGAGGAGTGAGGGAATCAAACCCAGTTCTCCCAGATTAGAGTTCGCGCACTTAACCACTACACCAAACTTAACCACTACACCAAGAACATATCCCACTACCCGCCATCACTCTCCTTCAACCAGTTTCAGCCTCTGGTGAGTCTCCTTCTCTGGCTAATGAAAGCTGCCGTACTTTTAGGTGGTCATTATCAGCAGCGGCAGGAGAGGTTCTTGGGGGAGGAGATCTCACCAGCCCTTTCAGTAGCCACCTGTTATTCCAGCCATGGCTTGCTGGTACTGATGGCTGTTCTGGCCAATGGCAGGCCATGGGGAAAATACCCCTGCCCTGGATATACCTAGTAGGTCATGCATAGCAGCTGGAAGTTGGCATATCTCTGCTCCTCGACACATGTGTTGTGGTGTTCTACAAAGCCCTGTTTTATTCCCTGTGTTTTCAGTATCTTCACGAACCTCCTGGGAGAGGTCGTCCAGACATTTGGAGTGAGATGGGACCAAAATCCAAATAAGATACACTGCAGGCATTTTTAGGGGGGTTAGTTGGGGTTTCATCTTGGATGTTTTATATATTGTGATTTATAAGCCACCTCGAGCCACAAGGAAGGGCAAGGCATAAATATTTAAATAAACAAACAAAGAAATTACGCTTAGCTTTATTTTTGCCTTTCCCATTGTCTGGGTGCAACTATGGCCGTTCTGAATGGCTAATAAACGGAATCCAGATAAATAAATGCACGTATGGGTGGTTAATCAGATCAAGTATGTGGGATGACACCCAGCTCTGTTAATGGATGGCCATCCGTTCTCTCCCCCTCATGGATCACTGCCTTGTCGTGGCGAGGGGGCTTGCGCAGTTCAATGAAGCTGTGGGCTATGCCGTGAAGGGCCACCCAAGACGGACAGGCCACAGCAGAGAACTCAGACCAAGCGTGATCCACCTGGAGAAGGAAATGGCAACCCACTCCAGTATGTTTGCCAAGAAAACCCCATGGACAGTATCAAAAGGCTAAAAGATATGACGCCGGAAGATGAGCCCCTCAGGTCGGAAGGTGTCCAATATGCTACTGAGGAAGAGCAGAGGACAAGTACAAGTAACCCCAGAAAGAGTGAAGCGGCTGGGCCAAAGCCGAAAGGACGCTCAGTTGTGGATGTGTCTGATGGTGAAAGGAAAGTCCGATGCTGCAAAGAACAATACTGCATAGGAACCTGGAATGTAAGATCTATGAATCAAGGTAAGCTTGACGTGGTCAAAAATGAGATGGCAAGACTGAACATCGATATCCTAGGAATCAGTGAACTAAAGTGGACAGGAATGGGCGAATTTAACTCAGAAGACCATTATATCTACTACTGTGGCCAGGAATCTCGTAGAAAAAATGGTGTGGCCTTTATAGTCAACAAGAGAGTGCAAAAGGCAGTACTGGGATACAATCTCAAAAATGACAGAATGATTTCTGTCCGATTCCAAGGCAAACCATTCAACATCACAGTAATCCAAGTCTATGCCCCAACCACTGATGCAGAAGAGGCTGAAGTGGACCGGTTCTATGAAGACCTACAACACCTCCTAGAACTAACACCAAAAAATGATGTCCTCATCATCATAGGGGACTGGAATGCTAAAGTAGGAAGTCAAAAGGTAACTGGAATAACAGACAAGTTTGGCCTTGGAAAGCAAAATGAAGCAGGGCAAAGGTTAACAGAGTTTTGTCAAGAGAACACACTGGTCATAGCGAACACCCTTTTCCAACAACCTAAGAGGCGACTCTACACATGGACATCACCAGATGGGCAACACCGAAATCAGATTGACTATATAATTTGCAGTCAAAGATGGAGAAGCTCTATCCAGTCAGTAAAAACAAGACCTGGAGCTGACTGTGGTTCAGATCATGAGCTACTCATTGCAAAATTCAGACTTAAACTGAAGAAAATTGGGAAAACCACGAGGCCATTCAGGTTTGACCTAGATCGCATCCCTGATGAATATACAGTAGAGGTGAAGAATAGATTCAAGGGTCTGGATTTGATAGATAGAGTGCCTGAAGAACTATGGACAGAGGTTCGTGACATCGTACAGGAGGCAGCAATCACCACCATACCAAAGAAAAAGAAATGCAAGAAAGCAAAATGGCTTTCTGATGAGGCTTTACAAATAGCAGAGGAAAGAAGGAAAGCGAAAGGCAAAGGCGAAAAGGAAAGATTTACCCAACTGAACGCAGATTTCCAGAGAACAGCAAGGAGAGATAAGGAGGCCTTCCTGAATGAACAGTGCAAAGTAATAGAAGAAAACAATAGAATGGGAAGGACTAGAGATCTCTTCAAGAAAATTGGAGAAATCAAGGGAGCGTTCCATGCAAAGCTGGCCATGATAAAGGACAAAAACGGTAGGGACCTAACAGAAGCAGAAGAGATTAGGAAAAGATGGCAAGAATACACAGAAGAACTATACAAGAAAGACCTCAATGTCCTTGACAAACACGACGGTATAATCACTGACCTTGAGCCAGACATCCTGGAATGTGAAGTTAAATGGGCCTTAGAAAGCATTACTAACAACAAAGCTAGTGGAGGTGATGGTATTCCAGCTGAGCTATTCAAAGTCTTAGAAGATGATGCTGTTAAAGTTCTGCACTCCATTTGCCAGCAAATTTGGAAAACGCAACAGTGGCCACAGGATTGGAAAAGATCAGTATACTGACACTGTCTAACCATCTCATCCTTTGCCGTCCCCGTCTTCTTTGACCTTCAATCTTTCCCAGCATCAGGGTTTTCTCCAGTGAGTGCAAACATGTCTTTCAAATGCCGGGAAAGATGCCTGGCTTTAAAGTTTGATGCGAACGTATCAAGCAAGCTAGTACTGTGAAAGGGTCATTATGGCTCCTGATTCTGCCACTTTCTCCAGATACTTGGTGACATATCTCTGCAGGTCTGCTATTGGTTCACTGACTTCAGCCTTTGAGAAGTTCCTGGTGGTGATGCACTGTGCTAAAACTGATGCTGCTTTTGGAAGAGCAGTTCTTCAGAGCCTGTTTCTTCAAGACGACCTGCAGATAACATCAGGTACATGGCTCCCTAGTCATCAAATCACCGCAGACTGTGACTGCAGCCATGAAATTAAAAGACGCCTGCTCCTTGGGAGGAAAGCGATGGCGAACCTAAACAGCATGATAAAAAGTAGAGACATCACCCTGCCAACAAAAGTCCGCATGGTCAAAGCAATGGTATTCCCAGTAGTCATGTATGGCTGCGAGAGCTGGACTATAAGGAAGGCCGAGCGCCGAAGAATAGATTCTTTTGAACTATGGTGCTGGAGGAGACTCTTGAGAGTCCCTTGGACTGCAAGAAGAACAAATCAGTCAATCCTCAAAGAAATCAACCCTGACTGTTCCCTGGAAGGCCAGATAATGAAACTGAAGCTCAAATACTTTGGCCACCAAATGAGAAGGGAGCACTCACTGGAGAAGACCCTGATGCTTGGAAAGATTGAAGGTCAAAGAAGACGGGGACGGCAAAGGATGAGATGGTTAGACAGTGTCATCGATGCAACGAACATGAAGTTGAGCCAACTTCAGAGGACGGCAGAAGACCGGAAGGCCTGGAGAGAGCTCGTCCATGGGGTCGCGAAGAGTCGGACTCGACTGTGCGACTGAACAACAACAACAATCCGTTCTCTGCCCCTGACACTCCGGATGAGTGTCAGCTATGCTGCCATGGGGGTTGGGATGGTCAGGCAGCGTCAGTGTAATTGCTCTTGCATTCCTTTCTGTGCTTCACGCTGAAACGCTTATCTGTAAAGACATGCAGGTGGGAGTTGTGGTGTCTGCCTTTTCCAGGGAGCCGTGGGAGAATACGAGTTCCCAGCTTCGGCTAGCAACAGTTAGCAAGCTTTATCCCGCGCGGGGTGTGTGTGTGTGCCTAATTGGCCAGCACAGTGGGGGAGGCATACGAATACCCTATATCTTATTATGTCCAAGGGGCGACTGCCATTCTTAACAGTGACTATGTTAATGTATCTATAGCGCTTCAATAAAAGTATTACCTTTCCTGAAAGCGTGTACTACGTTGTTGGCTGTGGGTTCTGACAATGAGGCTCTGGCGGCTGTGCCTGGATGGTTGAGAGATCACGGGAGGAAGTGGCATTCCAAAAACAACATCCAGGACAAAAATAACGAAGCGTCAATAAAGATAAGTTGCAAAAACATTTACTGTAGTAATTTCTGTAGAAAATTTTCTTCCGTTATCGCTCACACGCTAACGAATACTGCACAATGAACAATTCGTTTCGCAATATTTGCTTTATCTGAGTGTGTAGCAATCCCAATTCTTATAAATTACTACTTATCAACTCTTGAAGGAAACATTCCATGTTATCTCTCTAAGAACAGAACCCCAAGGTCTTCACAATGTATTAGCTGGATGTTTGGCTTTGAGAATCCAGTTGATACATTGTGAAGACCTTGGGCTCTGTTATTAGAGAGTCAACATGGAATGTTTCCTTCAAGAGTTGATAAGTAGTAATTTATAAGAATTGGGATTGCTACACACTCAGATAAAGCAAATATTGTGAGATGAATTGTTCATTGTGCAGTATTCGTTAGCGTGTGAACGATAACAGAAGAAAATTTTCTACAGAAATTACTACAGTAAAAGTTTTTGCAACTTATCTTTATTGACTCTTAGTTATTTTTGTCAACAGGTTAGCCAACTGCAGACTTCCATTGGCAGAAAAGATCTGGCCGATGCAGTGCATGTGCTGTGTCTAGATTAGATTAGTACAATGCACTCTAAGTGGGGCTGCCCTTGAAGACTGTCCAGACTTTAAACTCCTAGGAGGTTTGGGACCAGTATGCCTTAAGGACCACAGACTCCCATACAAACCGACCACATAGGGTTAGCAACGCTGGCTTGGGAAATTTCTGGAAAATTCAAGGCAGTGCCTGTGAAGGGCAGAGTTTGGGGAAGGGAGGGAAGTCAGCCGAGATGCGACACTATTATGTCCCGCTTCAGAAAGCTTGAGATTTCTGTACACTTAAAATCAGTTTGAATTCCAGGAGAACTCCAAGGCCTCACCTGGAGGTTGGCAACCCTACTACCTGGCCAGTATTGTCACCTCCTGAGGTTCTGCTTTTGGTGCTCACATCTTATGTGATAAGATGGCTGGCAGTCCAAGAGAGGGCCTTCTCGGTTGTGGCACCATAATTATGTCCCCCTTCCCCCTTAAGCATATTCATCTGTCCACTTCTATTACAACCTTCCATCGGTGGGTAAAGAATTTTATGTTTCGCCTTACATTTCCTCAGTGACCACTCCTGCCTGCCCTAAGTTTTCATTGCTGCTTCTGTGGTTTTCCACAGGTCTTTTAGTTTTAAGGTTTAATTCTGTTTATGATACATATTTAAATGTTAGCCTCCTTGGTGGCCCTGACTGGGCAGAAAGCCAGGATATAAGTTCTGTAAACAAATAAAATTATAAAGAAATAATGTGTTTCAAAACTTCTTGTATCTCAAGAGAACTGGATTGGAGGAAGCACTGATAAATCCTAGGCTTGCCACCTCCAGGAGGGACTTGAAGATCTCCCAATTTTACTCCTGATCTCCTGATGACCGAGATCAGTTCTCCTAGAGAAAATGACTGCTTTGGAGGGTGGATTCTATGGCATTGGAGCATGCTGAGGCCCCTCCCCTCCCAAAACCCCTCCCTCTCCAGGCTCCACCCCCAAAATCACCAGGTATTTCCCAACCTAGAGTTGGCAATATCAGGTGAGTAATTCTGGTATCTACTCAGCAAATATCGTACACACACACACACACACACACACACACACACCAATACTCTTCTCTACGTGCCTCCAAGGACTGGCTATTTTCAGAAAGGGGTATAAATTCATGTTGTGTTCAGATAAAGAAATAGAGATTTAGTTAAATGTTAGAGCCAGTTTGGTGTAGTGGTTAAGTGCGCGGACTCTAATCTGGGAGAACCAGGTTTGATTCCCCACTCCTCCACTTGCACCTGGCTGGATGACCTTGGGCAAGCCATAGTTCTGATAAGAGCTGTTCTTGAAAAAGAGCAGTTTCCGTCAAGAGCTCTCTCAGCCCCACCTACCTCACAGGGTGTCTGTTGTGGGGAGGGGAAGGGAGAGGAGTTTGTAAGCTGCTTTGAGACTCCCTTGGGAAGTGAAGGGCGGGGTATAAGAACATAAGAACATAAGAGACGCCAATGTTGGATCAGGCCAAAGGCCCATCCAGTCCAACACTCTGTGTCACACAGTGGCCAGAAATACCAGTGCCATCAGGAGGTCCAGCAGTGGGGCCAGGACATTAGAAGCCCTCCCACTGTTGACCCCCCCCCAAGCACCAAGAAGACAGAGCATCACTTGCCCCAGAGCCCCTATCTATACCTTGTGGCTAATAGCCACTGATAGACCTCTGCTCCATATGCTTAAAGGGAGAAAAGTACCTCTTTCTTTACCTGCTCTTTCCCATGCATAATCTTATAAACCTCGATCATGTCACCCCTCAGTCATCTTTTCTCCAAGCTAAAGAGCCCTAAGCGCTTTAACCTTTCCTCATAGGGAAAGTGTTCCAACCCTTTTATAATTCGAGTTGCCCTTTTCTGCACTTTTTCCAAAGCTATAATATCCTTTTTAAGGTGTGGTGACCAGAACTGCACACAGTATTCCAAATGAGGTCTCACCATTGATTTATATAGGGGCATTATGATATTGGCTGATCTGTTTTCAATACCCTTCCTAATAATCCCCAGCATAGCATTGGCCTTCTTTATTGCAGTCACACACTGTCTCGACATTTTCAGTGAGTTACCTACTACAAGATCTCTCTCTTGATCAGTCTCTGCCAGTTCAGACCCCATCAATGTGTATTTATATTTAGGATCTTTGGCTCCAATGTGCATCACCTTGCACTTGGCCACATTGAACCCCATTTGCCATGTTGACGCCCACTCGCCCATCCTTGACAGATCCCCTTGGAGTGCCTCACAATCCTCACTGGTTTTCACCACCCTGAACAACTTTGTATCATCCGCAAATTTAGCCATTCACTGCTTACTCCCATCTCCAAATCATTAATGAACAAGTTAAAAAGCAGTGGACCAAGTACTGATCCCTGCGGTACCCCACTGCTTACCACCCTCCACTGAGAAAATTGCCCACCTACACTCACTCTCTGTTTTCTATGAACTAGCCAGTTTTCGATCCATAAAAGGACAAGTTTGAAGTATAAATCCCATCTCTTCTTCTCTTCTTCTTAATGCCAAGGAGTATATTGGATAGGTGAATGTTTGGGAGGGCTTTGGGAGATGAGACAAGTCTGATGCAGTAGGAGAAAAAAAGGCAACTTACAAGATGGTATATGGTTGCTGTACCATCTACAAAAGTCTTTAAGGCATCTCTCAACTTGAGGAATTCTTCATCTCTGAGAGAGTACCGCTGACCAAAGGTCAGAGCACAGATCACGTTAGTGACAGAATTAGTGATGGGTATTGCAGGGTCAAGCGGCTGTCCTGAAAAATAAAATAAGTGGTGCTCATATTAATATTAATTCTGCCTTTCGGGTTAATACTAACAGCACAAGTTTGAAGTTCCAGGATAATTTCTCTTCCCCTTTTTGCTTTATTGAGGCACTGTGTTGGTTGAGAAGTGGTCATCCTTTAAGAGAGCAGTTCATTCTTTTTACAAAATGGTTCGCACACCTGAGAGTTCCTTGAATCTATATATTGTTCTTAGTGGGTTAAACATTGGTGGACACACAACTTATTCCTGAAGAAGTTATTTTATTTTGATTTACTGAGAGAGGATAAAACCTTTAGTGGTTGTCCAATACTAGGCTCAGAACTGTACAACACAAGCCGAGAAGGCTGTATTTAATTTAACACACCAGCAACTGGTGCCTTCAAACCTGGCTTTAGAACATAAGAGACGCCAATGTTGGATCAGGCCAAAGGCCCATCCAGTCCAACACTCTGTGTCACATAGTGGCCAGAAATACCAGTGCCATCAGGAGGTCCACCAGTGGGGCCAGGACACTAGAAGCCCTCCCACCGTTGACCCCCACCCCCAAGCACCAAGAAGACAGAGCATCACTTGCCCCAGAGCCCCTATCTATACCTTGTGGCTAATACCCACTGATGGACCTCTGCTCCATATGCTTATCTACTTCCCTTTTGAAGCCGTCCATGCTTGTAGCCGCCACCACTTCCTGTGGCAGTGAATTCCATGTGTTAATCACTCTTTGGGTGCATTCAGACGGGAGATTTACAACGGAATCTGTGCCGGTTGCAATCGTTGTACTTACCGGCGTTCAGACGGCGAACATCTGTCTTCCCTCCCTAACCGTTGTAAAGCCTTTTAAACCATTGCACTCTGCCACTAGGTTCCCAAGTGGTGGTATCCTGAGTGCAACGGTTGCATTCGCTTAACCCCGCCGTCTGATCGCTCTCCACCGGTATCTAGCCACTTCCGTTCGGAAGCATGAGGCTTCCGATTTTCGGCCGCCATTTTTTTTTAACTAGGCAATGTGCGCTTAAGCGAAGCTTCGCCCTGAGAGTTTGTTAAAAAAAAAAAAAGGTAAGTCCTTACCTTTAAAGTTTAAATGTAATACTGGGTGTTTTGAGCATGCGCAAACATCGCCATTCTGTGGATGGCTGCCTATGCGCATGCACAAACTAAGTAAAAAAAAAAACTCCGATGCCCGCAGCATGTGAGCGGGCATACAGCGATGGGCTCCGCAGAATGGAGGTGAGTGTGATCGCGTTTCAGCCGGCATAAACTGCACCGGTTCCAACCGGTACAGTTTATGCCGTCTGAAACGCCCCGTCTGAACGCACCCTTTGGGTGAAGAAGTACTTCCTTTTATCCGTTCTAAACCGACCGCTCTGCAGTTTCATGGAGTGCCCACAAGTTCTTGTATTGTGAGAAAGGGAGAAAAGTACCTCTTTCCCTGCTCTTTCCCATGCATAATCTTATAAACCTCAATCACGTCACCCCTCAGTCGTCGTTTCTCCAAGCTAAAGAGCCCCAAGTGCTTTAACCTTTCCTCATAGGGAAAGTGTTCCAACCCTTTTATCATTCGAGTTGCCCTTTTCTGCACTTTTTCCAAAGCTATAATATCCTTTTTAAGGTGTGGTGACCAGAACTGCACACAGTATTCCAAATGAGGTCTCATCATTGATTTATGTAGGGGCATTATTATATTGGCTGATCTGTTTTCAATACCCTTCCTATTACTTTCAGCCAAAGCATCTCACTAATAATTTAGAATGGGTTTATGATTTTCCCCTTTCCATATGAAAGGCTTTTTAATGCTTTCCTCGGCATGGGGAATTTTAATATAGATCTCATTGGGTGCATTCAGATGGGGTATTTAAGCCGGTATAGATGCCGGTTAGAATCGGAGTACTTACGCGCGATCACATGCACAACATCTGCCTTCCATCCCCAACCTTTGCCAACCGTCACAAACACCCCTTAAACTGGTGTAGTTTGCCACTAGGTACCCAAATGGTATTTTCCTGAGTGCTCTGGTTCTAGCCGCTTTTTCCCTATCTGATCACTCTCTGCCGGTATAGAGCCACTTCCGTTCAGAAGCCCGAGGCTTCCGCTTTTCATCCACCTTTTTTTTTTAGTAGGTGATGTGCGCTTGGGCGAAGCTTCACCCCGTCATTAATAATAATTTTTAAAAGGTGCCTAGTGTAAGGCTTTAGACGAGTCCGGGACCTCATGGAGGCCAGTTTCAGAGTAAAAATTTAAAGGGACATCTTTGCTTCAGGGCATGCTTTTCAGGTTGGGTTTTTCTGTGCCTGCGCAAAGATCTTCATTATAAGGAAGACTGCCTATGCGCATGCACAAACTGTGTAAAAAAAACCCCAACGCCGACATGCTTTGCTGAGCACCTGAAGTGTGGGCGCCGGGGAGCGATGTAAGAGGTGAGTGTGATCGCGCTTCCCCCGGATCAAATTCATCTAGTTGGAACTGGAGTGGCTTACACCGCTCCCAGCCCACTGTCTGACCGCACCCATAGAGTATTAGAATAGCAGAGTGCACAAATTCCTGGTTTTCTTCCCCAGGGTAGGGGGTTCCTGTTCTGCAAGTATTTTGCTCCCTCCAGTGGTCTATTTGATAGTACATCAGTTTATTTCCGGCATAAAAACCTGTGGTTTAAATCTGCAGGGAGATATGCTAGACAAAAAATGATGTAATATTAAATCAACCATGAGAAGGAGCAAAACGTATGTGGAACGGGGCAGTGGAAACCCCAGCGAAACAGGAACTTACAAGCAAGGAAAATGAGAATGCGGAAAAACCCTTAGCAAACTAATATGAGCTCTTTATTGTAAGGAATTCTCTTCTAGACGGGATAGAGGAGACATAGGATTCTAATCTACTCTAACTAACTAGGATGGAGGGAGATGCAGGGAGCGTGGAGTCAAGATGAGAAGAGAGAGAGTGAGAGAAGTTGTCTGCCAGAAGGAAGGAAGATTCCCTGAGAGGAAGGAAGGATGCATAGAGTCCTGTCCTGTGTATTACTCTGTCTCTCTGTCCTATTTCTCTGTCTTTTTACCTGGTCCTGTCTGGCAGTTTAACAATCTGCTTCCACCAACCATTCCCCCCACACTCCTGATTGGCTGCTTCACTGCTGAGTGGAGATTGGTGGTTAAGAGCCCCATGTAGGCTGGGTGTGGCTTGGACTGTCAGAGGAGTATGCACTTGGCCACTTCATAATCCCTAGTAAATCCCAGAAATATTATAGCTCTTAAATATTCTGTGGAGACTACTCTGAATGGGGATGGCTATTGCCATTATTCCATCCTAGAAGTCCCACCTTTTCCCAAGTAAGCACCTTACTTTTCAGAAAACTACCAGGTGCTCATGAGCAGGGTGTCTGTTGTGGGGAGGGGAAGGGAAAGGAGATTGTAAACCGCTCTGAGACTCCCTTGGATAGTGAAGGGCGGGGTATGAATCCAATCTCTTCTCTTCTTCTTTAGAGCTCTTTCTCTGAATGTGAAGATTCTCTCTGGGCCATGCAGACGCACAAGCATTAGGTGAAAAGGAGCTGCGTGACTTGCCCGGCCTCGTGAGCACCAGTGTAGCCAAATCCCCACAATTCTGTTCCCTTATTTCCCACCTTTTATCAGTGTGATTGATAAAAGCCAGTCAAGATGAATAGCGAATTCTGACATTTCCCCATCAGCTTCTTTTCAAGGAGATTCAAGGGGGGAGGAAGTTGCTTCTGGGACTCTGGACTAATCGCCTTTCAGGAGAAGCAAATTAAGTGATGATACTGATTTAGAATCTTTCTATATTAACAAGACTTCCACAATCAGGTGAGAAATGATAGGATTCTCGTAATATTTTAATTCTGGCTACAGAGGATTTGCCGGTTGAAGTTTCCTGTATGATCAAACAGTCCAGCAGGATAGGCTCTTTAAAGGATGAGGAAGTGAGTGCTTTTGCAAGAGGAATTCATGAGTTAAAGAAGAAAAGGGAACCCACAGACAGAGTTCTGCAGACAGCAACACATTTTGGTGCCATCTCCTCGTAATACATACGTTTTGCATCTGCAAAGGCCTGAACCAGGTGATAGGCCTCCTCGTGTATTTGCTGCTCTATGCCTTTCTTCCCCAGTCCCAGCTTCCGCATGGTCACCAAGCCAAACTTCCTCTGTTGTTTCCAGATGTGACCATTTGAAAATATAATACCTGAAGATATCAATGAAACATTATAGCAACAATTCACATTAAATGTTTCGGGCAGGGCTGCCAACAGGGAGACTGGGGGGGACAAAATCTGGGGTCCCAAGGAGGGCCCCTGAATTCGAATGTCTTTTAATTTTTAATGCAGTTCTGGCTGTGGCCACTAGGGGTGCAGGGAAGTCAGGGAAGTGCCTCCCATGGGACATTTCACTTCCTTTCTGGTGGTCGCAGCTTTCCCCAACCACCAGAAAGGAGGGCGTGAAGCACCTCCTAGGAGCCACCATAAAGGAGGGAGTGAAATGCACCCTGGGAGTAAGTGGAAATACCCCCTTCAAAGTGGGGGGGGGGAGCAGAACTGGAGAGTTTAAATGGCTTAGAAGCTAAACGGAATCGGTATTCTGAGAAAAACTCCATAGAGGAAAAGAGCAAGAGTGCAGTAGCACCTTAGGTAAAGGTAAAGGTTTCGAAAGCCAGTCGAGTCCGACTCTAGGGTTGCGGTGCTCATTTCCAATTGAAAGCCGAAGAGCCAGCGCTGTCCGAAGACATTTCCGTGGTCACGTGGCCGGCATGAGTAAACACCAAGGCGCACGGAATGCTGTTACCTTCCCACTGAAGTGGTACCTATTTATCTACTTGCAATTTCTTGCTTTCGAACTGCTAGGTTGGCAGGAGCTGGAACTAGAGACGGGAGCTCATTCCGTCATGCGGCACACTCGGGTCTCAAACTGCTGAACTACTGACCTTCCACAGCCTGCAGTTCAGCATCTTAACAAAATCTGTGGCGGGGTAGGAGCAGTGAGTCACAAAAACTCATCCCCTGCCACAAATTTTGTTAGTGTCTAAGGTGCTCCTGGACTCTTGCTTTCTTCTACTACTACAGACAGGCTAACAGGGCTACCCATCTTGATCTGTCTCTGTAGAAGAAGAGAATGGCAAACTACCTCTGCTTCTAACTCGCCTTGAAAACCCTTTGATGGGGCAGCCATAAGTCAGTTGTGCCTTGAGGACCCACATGTATGTGCATTGATGCTTCTTCAAAACCCACACCTTCTTTCTCAGTTGACATTTCTTTCAGCTTTACCCGAAAGCAAATGTGAATGATTATGATGCGACTGGTTATTTATTTATTTATTTATTTATTTATTTATTGAACTTATCAACTGCCCTTCCCGGTGGAACTGGGCTCAGGGTGGTGTACAACATGATCATATAAGACATCAAGTAAAAGAAATTGAAACCAAGGCCCCGGTCACACGGCAAAGTTGCCGCGGGAGAGTCACGGATGGTGGGTGGATTATCCGGGCGCGATCACCCCCCAGCATCTGGGAAGTGGAGCGCACCCGTGGCTTACCGCTGACAATGCGAGTTTAAAAACTAGTACCTCCAAGGTACTAGTAAACGTTTGCCATGGGCTGCCTCCAGACTCCCGTGGTGTGATCGCCCTGGCGCACAGCATTCCCCTCCGGTCCCTCGTTTACCCGCCGGCCCTGAGAGAAGGACCTGTGGTGTGCTGCCGGCGTGTCTGATCGTGTAATCGCGGATCAAACTGCGCCGGGGCAATTAGCCACACCTCCACCCCGCGATATCCGGCCCTTGTGACTGGGGCCCAAGTAAAACTGTAAAAATGACATGGCCTTTACGCAGAGGTGGTGCTCTTTCCATCGGTCACCAAAAGGATTTCTGAAGCTTGCCAACCTTTACTTTTGTGTTCCTAGATTGGGGGTTGTTTTTTGTTTTGTGTGACACTCCCCTAGGATTTCTTTGGGGAGAAAACCATGAAAACCTTTACCTCTTCTCAAGAACTTACCGCTTTTTTTCCCTATGGCTTCAAAGAAAGGAGTCACTGGCCGCTCATCAAAATCTGCCGAATGGTTGATTGCCGCTTCTTTCACTGCTTCGAATCCAGACATCACCACCACAGGCAAACTCCCTGACCATACAGTGTAAACGTTTCCATATTCCTTTGCCAGCTGTCATTGGGACCAAAAGAGAGAAGTGTTAACCTCAAGAAGAGAAGAAGAAGAGATTGCATTTATACCCCGCCCTTCACTCGGAGTCTCAGAGCAGTTTACAGACTCCTTTCTCTTCCCCTTCCCATAACAGACACCCTGTGAGGCATAAGAACATAAGAGATGGCAATGTTGGATCAGGCCAAAGGCCCATCCAGTCCAACACTCTGTGTCACACAGTGGCCAGAAATACCAGTGCCATCAGGAGGTCCACCAGTGGGGCCAGGACATTAGAAGACCTCCCACTGTTGACCCCCCCCCAAGCACCAAGAAGACAGAGCATCACTTGCCCCAGAGCCCCTAGCTATACCTTGTGGCTAATAGCCACTGATGGACCTCTGCTCCATATGCTTATCTAATTCCCTTTTGAAGCCATCCATGCTTGTAGCACCCACCACTTCCTGTGGCAGTGAATTCCAAGTGTTAATCACTCTTTGGGTGAAGAAGGACGTCCTTTTATACGTTCTAGCCCGACCGCTCAGCAATTTCATTGAGTGCCCATGAGTTCTTGTATTGTGAGAAAGGGCGAAAAGTACCTCTTTCTCTACCTGCTCTTTCCCATGCATAATCTTATAAACCTCAATCATGTCACCCCCTCAGTCGTCGTTTCTCCTAGCTAAAGAGCCCTAAGCGCTTTAACCTTTCCTCATAGGGAAAGTATTCCAACCCTTTTATCATTCGAGTTGCCCTTTTCTGCACTTTTTCCAAAGCTATAATATCCTTTTTAAGGTGTGGTGACCAGAACTGCACACAGTATTCCAAATGAGGTCTCATCATTGATTTATATAGGGGCATTATGATATTGGCTGATCTGTTTTCAATACCCTTCCTAATAATCCCCAGCATAGCATCGGCCTTCTTTATTGCATTCACACACTGTCTCAACATTTTCAGTGAGTTATCTACTACAACTCCAAGATCTCTCTCGTGATCAGTCTCTGCCAGTTCAGACCCCATCAATGTGTATTTACATTTAGGATTTTTGGCTCCAATGTGCATCACCTTGCACTTGGCCACATTGAACCCCCTTTGCCATGTTGACGCCCACTTGCCCATCCTTGACAGATTCATTTGGAGTGCCTCACAATCCTCACTGGTTTTCACCACCCTGAACAACTTCGCATCATCCGCAAATTTAGCCACTTCACTGCTTACTCCCAACTCCAAATAATTAATGAACAAGTTAAAAAGCAGTGGACCGAGTACTGATCCCTGTGGTACCCCACTGCTTACCACCCTCCACTGAGAAAATTGCCCATTTATACTCACTCTGTTTTCTATTAATTAGCCAGTTTTTGATCAATAAAAGGACATGTCCTTTTATCCCATGATTGTTGAGCTTAATTAGGAGCCTTTGATGAGGAACTTTATCAAAAGCTTTCTGGAAGTCAAGGTAAACAATATCTATTAGATCCCCCTTGTCCACATGTGTGTTCATTAGAGTTCATTAGTCTCTTTCAGTGAGAGCATGACCACTTCCGTCTTTTTTCTCTCTGCTGACTGAATCTGAGTGGGAGGGGGGCCACGCAGAAAAGATAAGGTTTTGCTTATACTTTTCACCTCAGAAAACAGAGCGCTATCGAGAATATTCGGCCAATATACACAGAACAGACACAAAACAGACAGGCACAGACAAATATTAATCGTTAAAAATCTTAATTGCTGACTGAGCTGAACTGAAACAGGTAATACATTAAAACAGGCTCTAATGAGAAGGGAGTGCCTTGCTTCTAAAATAGAAGACTTACACTGGTCTTATTTCCCACCCAAAAGAGTGAATACCAGTTTGGTGTAGTGGTTAAGTGCGCGGACGCTAATCTGGGAGAACCGGGTTTGATTCCCCACTCCTCCACTTGCACCTGGCTGGATGACCTTGGGCAAGCTGTAGTTCTGGTCAGAGCTGTCCTTGAAAAAGAGCAGTTTCTGTCAAGAGCTCTCTCAGCCTCACCTACCTCACAGGGTTTCTGTTGTGGGAAGGGGAAAGGAAAGGAGTTTGTAAGCCACTCTGAGACTCCCTTGGCTAGTGAAGGGTGGGGTATAAATCCAGTCTCTTCTTCTTCTTCTTTCTGGCCATTCCTGAAAACTGATCTAAGTCGATGGACTCTCTTCTTGTGGATTCCCCCGTCTGGTGCTTCAGGCACAGACTGCTTTCCCAAGTCAGTAGAGGCCTTGAGTTGTAAAATGAACTCAGCTCTTGGTACACTAATCTCTCCACGTCCACCTTCTAGATCCAGCATCGCTAGCCTTAGCTACCAGGAGGGGAAATCCATCACCTGGAGGTTTCCTGATTTTGATACACAAATCTGTCCCCTGTGTGACCCTTTGGCCAAATTGGAGACACACAGTCGGAGTCCAACGAGTTAGATGAGTATCTGCTTAATGCACTGAAAACAGGGGATACAGGGCTGAGTACCTTAGCACCTCAGCAATTCCAAAACTGTATTCTGCCATAACCAGGAAGGGCAGAAGGTCTAATACCCCAAATGACATCACATATTGTTTACACATTAAAGAGTCTCTAATTGGTACCAAGCAGTTAACATCATACAAACATAATGTGACTCAGTGCATCTCTCAGTGGTGTCAGTAATTACACTTGTTTACCTTGTCTTCAGAACATTGGAAAAATTAGAGAACACTGGGTCCTTCCTGGGCTCGCATGTGGCGAGCTAGCTGATAAGGGCTGTGAATCACATTAAACTTCGCTCTCGGCAGCCTTGCAACTTCTAAGTAGCATACCATTCTTTTTGTTGTTGTTCAGTCGCACAGTCGAGTCCGACTCTTTGCGACCCCATGGACCAGCTCCCTCCAGGCCCTCCGGTCTTCCGCCATCCTCTGAAGTTTGCTCAACTTCATGTTCATTGCATCGATGACACTGTCTAACCATCTCATCCTTTGCCGTCCCCGTCTTCTTTGACCTTCAATCTTTCCCAGCATCAGGGTCTTCTCCAGTGAGTGCTCCCTTCTCATTGGGTGGCCAAAGTATTTGAGCTTCAGTTTCATTATCTGGCCTTCCAGGGAACAGTCAGGGTTGATTTCTTTGAGGATTGACTGATTTGTTCTTCTTGCAGTCCAAGGGACTCTCAAGAGTCTTCTCCAGCACCATAGTTCAAAAGAATCTATTCTTCTGCGCTCGGCCTTCCTTATAGTCCAACTCTCGCAGCCATACATGACTACTGGGAATACCATTGCTTTGACCATGCGGACTTTTGTTGGCAGGGTGATGTCTCTACTTATTATCATGCTGTTTAGGTTCACCATCGCTTTCCTCCCAAGGAGCATACCATTCTTATTGCATCCTAATTCCTTCTACAGAGGCTTCTTATACACAGAAATGCAGATATAAAATATGGATTCTGCTATAAGTTTATCTAATCAAAAGATTCTAGGTTACATACCAAGATCTGGATCTATTATGATTAAACTTTTGAAGGCACAGTGACAGCTGTCAGAAATCACATTCTTTTCTCCTTGTTGAGAGCCAGTTAGTGGTTAAGTGTGCGAACTGTAATCTGGGAGAACCGGGTTTGATTCCCCCACTCCTCCACTTGTACCTGCTGATGTGACCTTGGGTCAGTCACAAGCTCTGGCACAGCTGTTCCTGAAAGAGCAGTTTGTGTCAGAGTTCTCTCAGCCCCACCGACCTCCCAGAGTGTCTGTTGTGGGGAGGGGAAGGGAGAGGAGTTTGTAAGCTGCTCTGAGACTCCAAGTGAAGGGCGGGGTATAAATCCAATCTCCTCCTCCTCCTCCTCCTCCTCTTCTCCTTCTTCTTCTCCTTCTTCTCCTCCTTCTTCTCCTCCTTCTTCTTCTTCTACAGTATAAATCCAACCTCTTTTCTTCTTTGTCTACTTATCCCTTGAAAGGACTCAGCTGGGTTTTTGGTGCAGATGTACTTTGACCGTGCTACAACCTAGCCCTCAAGCCCCAATGTGTTTCTGTCTGATGGCACCAACTGCAGCATTTTAAAAAGGAATTCAGGGACCAGCCTGTCCCTGGTGATAAATTCCAGAACGGTAGGTACCTTGATCTGATGAAGTTAAAGCAACAAAGAATCTTGTCGAACCTCAAGGGCAGGATTATCGTGGCGCCAACTTTCATGCAGCTCCCATGATCAGCCTAAAGTTGGTGGCCAATTCTGAAGTACCTAGCTTTATTTTCTGATGGGTTTTGCCTATCACAGACTGAAAGGTGGACACAGCCCTTTATTATCTTTTCCTGTTGGTCTATTTCTGTGCAAACTGTTAAATGTGAAATATGGGATAGTTTTCATTATTTATATAGAAACTGTACATGCTACCTCTCCGGACACTTGCAGCAGGTGACACACAAGGTTAAAAACTGTACTATACTGCAACCATAAACATAAAGATTATTGATATTAAAACCAGAAATAATACATGCAAAGCCCCCCACAAACAGCATTTCCACTCACAGAAAGTTCATACCTTTGTGCAAGGGAATCATAGAATCATATGAATCATAGAATATTAGAGTTGGAAGGGACCTTACAGGTCATCTAGTCCAACCCCCTGCACTCTGCAGGAGTATACTGAAAGATAGCCCTACATACGTACAACATACCCGAAAGATGGTCGTCCAGCCTCTGCTTGAAAATGTCCAGTGAAGGAGCATCCACCACCTCCCGAGGCAGACTGTTCCACTGCTCAACCACTCTCACAGTTAGGAAGTTTCTCCTGATATTTAGCCGGTAACGACTCCCTTGTAATTTCCACCCATTAGATCTAGTCTTGCAATCCGGAGCAAGAGAGAATAGATCTGCTCCATCTTCTACATGACAGCCCTTCAAATACTTGAAGACTGCAATCCTGTCCCCTCTAAGCCTTCTCTAGAACAGAAAAGCTTTTTTTTCCCCCTATCAGCATATGACTCTTCAGAATTCCTCCTCAATTAGTTGGTGGAGAGAGTGCTAGCAGTTAGAACCAGCCATTTGCTGTGCTTTAAATTAGAAAGGGAATTGAAAACAAATCAGCCAGTATCATGATGCCCCTGTATAAATCAATGGTGCGACCTCATTTGGAGTACTGTGTACAGTTCTGGTCACCACACCTCAAAAAGGATATTATAGCATTGGAAAAAGTGCAGAAAAGGGCAACTAGGATGATAAAAGGGTTGGAACACTTTCCCTATGAAGAAAGGTTAAAGCTCTGGGGGCTCTTTAGCTTGGAGAAACGACGGCTGAGGGGGTGACATGATCGAGGTTTATAAGATTATGCATGGGATAGAGCAGGTAGAGAAATAAATACTTTCCTCCCTTTCTCACAATACAAGAACTCATGGGCACTCAACGAAATCGCTGAGCAGTCGGGTTAGAACAGATAAAAGGAAGTACTTCTTCACCCAAAGAGTGATTAACACATGGAATTCACTGCCACCGGAGGTGGTGGCAGCTACAAGCATGGACAGCTTCAAGAGGGAATTAGATAAGCATATGGAGCATGGGTCCATCAGTGGCTATTAGCAACAAGGTATAGATAGGAACTCTCGGGCTGGGGCAAGTGATGCACTGTATTCTTCGTGCCTGGGGAGGGCTTCTAGTGTCCTGGCCCCACTGGTGGAGCTCCAGATGGCACCTGGTATTTTTTGGCCACTGTGTGACAGAGTGTTGGACTAGATGGGCCACTGGCCTGATCCAACATTGGCTTCTCTTATGTTCTTAAATTGCATGAACCAAATAAGGTAGCTTTCGCCAATCTGCCTGAAATTTGGGAGAATCACTTTGCATAAATTATACAATCCTTGGAAATTTCACCCCAAATCTGGTTGTGACAAAAACAGTTATAGGTGGAAAAGTTGAAGGCAGTAGGAAGAGAGGAAGACCAAACAAGAGATGTTGTTGTTCAGCTGCACAGTCGAGACCAACTCTTTGCGACCCCACGGACCACATCATGCCAGGCCCTCCTGTCTTCCATCATGTCCCGGAGTTTGCTTAATTTCATGTTCGTTGCATCGATGACACAGTCTCACCATCTCATCCTTTGCCATCCCCGTCTTCTTTGACCTTCAATCTTTTCCAGCATCAGGGTCTTCTCCAGTGAGTGCTCCCTTCTCATTGGGTGGCCAAAATATTTGAGCTTCAGCTTCAGTCTCTGGCCTTCCAGGGAACAGTCAGGGTTGATTTCTTTTAGGATTGACTGATTTGATCTCCTGGCAGTCCAAGGGACTCTCAAGAGTCTTCTCCAGCACCATAACCCAAAAGAATCTATTCTTCGGCGCTCGGACTTTCTTATAGTCCAGCTCTCGCAGCCATACATGACTACTGGGAATACCATTGCTTTGACCATACAGACTTTAAGAAATATAAAACAATATAAATTTAAAAAACAAGAGATGGATTGACTCAATAAAGGAAACTATTACCTTCAGTTTGCAAAACCAGAGGAAGGCTGTTAATGATGGGACAAGGGGGTCATAAATTCACAGGGTCACCATAACCTGGAAGCTACTTAATGGCATATAACACATGATGAAGAGACTGAATGAAGACATTCTCCATCCTTTTGACATATGCCCAGGCCTCCTCTTGAAAGGAGAAGCCAAAGTGCCTCATTCTTCCTGAAATCCCTCGAACTTTCCCAAGGTCAGCTTGGTGCAATTCAGAACTCAAATGCGTGTCTGCTGGAAGGACAGCTGTTTCGAATGCATTTCTACCACAGGAGGAACAGAATTCAAGCTGTTCTTCCTCTAGGCTCTTACTCGGCAAATCAATAATTTTAAAAGGCATACCTTAATAAAAGTATCCTGAGAAAAGTCTATGAGTATCCGCCATGCGCTTCCGATGATAGGAAGCCGAAGAGGCCCTGGAGGATAGTTCTTGTGTGACCAGAGTTGTTTCAGAAAGAGCAAAATACTCAGCAGTCCTGCTACCAAAGTTACTGGTATCCACATTGCCATGTCTTTCCCCCTCTCTGTTTTCGAAGCTTTCCAGTATAATCAGGGTGCCTTTTCTCTTGTGGTTCTTTGTTTTCTTCAGAGGTGTTGCAGCTTCTCTTATTTCTCTCTCTCTGCTAACACCCTTTTATAGGTCCCAATTATTAACAGTTACGTAGAACCTCCTTACGCCATTGCTACATTGTCCAGGAATGTAGTCCTCTAGGTATGGATTATGGTGTTACATGTAGGTATGGATTATGATGTCACAACCAATACATGGTTGGGACAGGGCTTTTCTATGAACTGAAGGGACCCACACTGCCTCCTACGATTTGGGGGAACCAGGTTTGTTTTAAACTATTAACCTTCCCCTCAGTTACCAGGTGTTCTAAAAGTAGCAAGGGTACAGGAAGGGGCTAGCTGCCGTGAGGTGAGCTTTTTGGTGCACGAGTACAATACAGAGATCACCGAGGTAGGATTTGTATAAAAACGATACAGATTTATGTATTTCCAGGTTGGTTTCAAAGAACAGCTCAGCAGCACAGGTCTCCAGGTAGACAAAGCAGAAACCTGACGGAGCCACATAAATGTAAGCTACTTATGGATTTAAAGATTGTGTTGAATTTTCTTTCATGCTTTTAGGTGCAAACAGGTCTTTACTGACTAGCCACTTAGGGCTGCCGGACCCCCCAGTGGTGGCAGGGGTACTCTGCTGCCAGACCCCACCTCCACACCGTGGATCAGCTGGCCAGTGGGGGGATCTAACCCCCCAAAAGAAGGAGATCCATCCAGTGTTCCCTCTAAGCTGAGTTAATGTGAGCTAGCTCAGTTTTTTAGCCTCCGGCTCACACATTTTTGTCTTAGCTTAGGAAGATGGCTCCAGAGCAAACTAATTTATGCAGTTGCCAAGTTTCTTGGTCACAACTTTAATGCCAGTAGCTCACAAAACAGAATTTTTGCTCACAAGATTCCACAGCTTAGAGGGAGCATTGGATCCATCCAATGTGCAGCGTCATGTCTGTGTATGGGAATGGAATGATGTCATCTTGGCCAGCCTTGAAGTAGTCCAGAATCCTTTCTTAAGGCACATTTTAGCTCTCCCCAAGGTGTCCTCAGATGCTCTGATGAGAGCCGAAACTGGTATTCCTTCTCTTAAGGCTTGGGCACACCTTATAATTATCAGATACTGGAAAAGAATGGAAAATCCACAATCTAATTCCCTCAGTCACCAATCTTTTAAACTGCTGTTAGCTAAAGATCCGCCGCGCCTTGACTTCCTTAACAACATACGTTCAAGATACTCTGTTCCCGATGATCTTTTGGGAACATCAGTTGATAAATCCCAACTTAGAAACTGGATTTATGACTTTGACGCTTGGCTAGACCGCTCTTTGATATTAAAATCCAAAGCGGCACCATGGTACAAATCAATTAAATTGGACCATATTAGAACTCCATACTTAGTCAATATCTCTAAACACGTACTTAGAGCTCTACGGTTTCAATCAATGCCAACAGCAATTTTGGAGGGCCGATTTAATCAAACTCCGTTGGTCCATCACCTATGTATTTGTGGCACTCATGAACTTGAGGATTTACATCACTATAGCCTCTTTTGCCCACTGTATTCTAGTCCGGGGGCTAAATTTTTAGCAGGTATTTTAGTTGGTCTTAGTGCTTACCCAGTGGAGGATAAAATTTCATTTTTGTTATCTGACATGGATGCATATGTCGCTTATAAAGTTTCATTATTTGCCCTTGCTGCAAAGAATATACATTCCAAGGTGACATCGAGAAGGGGCATTACTCAGGCCACTGTATTAAATTAGTCATATTTTGTAATTGATTTCTGGTACTTTTGTATATTATGATATTAACCGATCGTTTGATCACAATTTGTAATCTTGTAACGGCCAATGGCTAATTACAATAAACTAAACTGAAACTGATGATGGAGCCAAGGAACAGGAAATCTCGAACCAGTTCAGGGAGGGCGGGGTATAAATATAATAAATAAATAAATAAAATTATTAACCTTAAAGCTGTGTAATTCCCCAGTAGTCACTACTTCTGTCTTGTTCATACCCGGCTGTAATCTCTCTTTGGTACTTTCTTCTTTAACCTTCATCAGGAGTCGTTTCGACATTTCCCTATTTTCTGCCAGTATTTTCTCAAATATACCGCACACTAATGTAAATGTCAAAAGAAAGATTTAGGGGGGGAAACTCGTTGAAAATGGAATCAAGATAAAAATACTTACAAATCATTAATATGTAAACAACATTTTCTGGAGAGCCAGTTTGGTGTAGCGGTTAAGTGCGCGGACTCTAATCTGGGAGAACTGGGTTTGAGTCCCCACTCCTCCACTTGCACCTGCTGATGTGACCTTGGGTCAGTCACAAGCTCTGGCACAGCTGTTCCTGAAAGAGCAGTTTGTGCCAGAGTTCTCTCAGCCCCACCCACCTCACAGGGTGTCTGTTGTGGGGAGGGGAAGGGAAAGGAGTTTGTAAGCCGCTCTGAGACTCCAAGTGAAGGGTGGGGTATACATCCAATCTCTTCTTCTTCTTCTTCTTCTTCTTCTTCTTCTTCTTCTTCTTCTTCTTCTTCTGCAAAGAAAAATTGCTCTTTGGCTTTCTACAGATATGAAAACATTAATAACAAAATTTAAAGTCTCAAATCCTGAAAAATATTGTGACAACATTGTGTTGACGAATAAATAAATAAATAGCAGTATAGATTTCCTTAGTATCATCACCTTTTCTTTAAGGAAAGAAAGAAAATCATGCCAGGTTCATCAACACTTGCTCTCTAATCTCCCTTTTCGCAACACCCAAGTCTTTTGACAAACAGGAAGCGCACGATTATCTCCATAATACAGTGAACTCGTACTATTCATTTTAGAGTAGACGGAGGGAGATTAAAAGGACTTACCTCTAGAGCACAAATGACGCCTTATAATGTGCTCTGTAAAGTCTAAGGACAAATCGTACCATAGCTCTGGACTTCATAAAGAATGGTATGATGGTAACTGTGGGCATATAACAGCCTTCAGGTGGGTAGCCATGTTGCTCTGAAGCAGAAGAACAAAGTTTGAGGCTAGTGGCACCTTTAAGACCCACGAAATTTTACTCCAGGTATAAGCTTCCTTGTGCATGCACACTTCTTCGGAGATATCTAAACAAGTGTGCATGCAAATGAAAGCTTATCTCTTGAATAAATCTTTGTTGGTCTTAAAGGTGCCACTGGACTCAAACTTTATATAACAACTTTGTTATTACTTGGGAAATGTTAGATTTTAAGGGGCTGGCATCCTTGGCATGGGTGGAGAACCAATTCAGATGGTCCTTCCTTGGGAGCCAATACGTCTTATTTGTTTTGAGGACATGCTTAGCGTTCTTGGCAGGCATGCCTAGCTATCCTATCAAAACCCTGATCTCTGGGAGTCAACCTGAGCTGCACCCCACAATACGAGGGCTTGAGTCATGCCCTTATTGATTAAGGCCAGCTGAGAATCATATATGGCTTTTATTACTCTGCAGGAAGAGGCGTACCATGTCCTTTGAAAGAAGATGTGATGAAACCATTACGACAGATGTCAACATGAAAGCCATTTGACCTTGCAAATTCCACGTAAAGGAGTAAGGTCCTCTTCACTGTTGAGGTGCTCCAGTCCAGTGCAGTCCTCTTTGGAGGCCCTGCTTCAGGTACCAATTTTACCATATACACATGGTGTAAGGGTATTAGCACAGTAAGATATTGGAAGGTGGAACATAAAAACATAAGATTCTAGCAGGGCTTTTTTTGTAGAAAAAGCCCAGCAGGAACTCATTAGCATAAGAGGTCACACCCAGCAGCAAAAACTCATTAGCATATTAGGTCACTCCCCTGACAGTACAGCTTATTAGCCTATTAGGCCACACCCCATGCCTTTCCTTGGCTTGCTCAGGCGCCCTGCAGCTGCAGGGAGCCCGGGCAAGCCCCCCCCCCTTGAGTTTAAACTGCCTTCCCTTGGCTTCTGGGGATAGGCCGGGGAAGGCATGGGGAGGCATTTAAATGCCTCCCCCATCCTTCCAGGACCCCCTGGCCCACCCGCCTCAGAGTCGGGGGGTTTGCTTTCCAGGCCTTCCCTCTGTAGCCACGCACACAGAGGTTTTGGCTGTAGTGGGCGTGGCCAACTCTGAAGCCAGCCGGAACTCCGTTCCTGTGTGTTCCTGCCCCAAAATAGCCCTGGATTCTAGCAATAAAAACTAACTCGTCTTGGTCTTGATTGAACATTTCCAAGTAAGCTTTCTTAGGATTATGTCTCGACCTATTTAGTTGCCCTGAGCCTGCTTCGGCAGGGATGGCGGGGTATATCAAATAAATCAAATAAGAGAAGCCATGGTGGATCAGGCCAGTGGCCTATCCAGTCCAACATTCTGTGTCATTTTGCATCTCCAACTAATTTTGGACTTATTTTGTTGGTCCGCCTTTTTGGTTCCTTGGCACTAGCAAGTTAACACTACTTTTTCATCTCTGTCTAGCTTCTCCCCTGTTCCTTTTGCCGTCAGTTAAGGTACAGGAGCCTTAATTGGCCTTATGCTGATTTAGATCAGAGAGTTAACTCAGTAGTTAGTATTAAAGGTAATTGAACGACATTCAAATTTTAATCTTGTTTACGTTTGCCTTCCCTGAGCCTACAAGTTGCTCTACTTAGCTAAATCCCATCCTTCCCACTTTAAGTCAATACACTAGCTTTGCCCCTGTCAGGGTTACCTGAGACTGAAGTTATGGTCCTGTGTTAGGTGCACAACTTTAACCCATGGTAAGCAAGTACTTGCTTGGAACACTTTCCCTATGAGGAAAGGTTAAAGCGCTTAGGGCTCTTTAGCTTGGAGAAACGACGACTGAGGGGTGACATGATTGAGGTTTATAAGATTGTGCATGAGAAAGAGCAGGTAGAGAAAGAGGTACTTTTCTCCCTCTCTCACAATACAAGAACGCGTGGGAACGCCATGAAATTGCAGAGCAGTCAGGTGAAAGCGGATAAAAGGAAGTACTTCTTCACCCAAAGAGTGATTAACACATGGAATTCACTGCCACAGGAAGTGGTGGCGGCTACAA